ACGACCGAGAGAGACAGTGAGGTGTTATAGATGTCTGCAAAAACTCCTGCTAGTTCCCTGTAGCAGGCTTTAAGCACTCTCCCGGGAATGCCATCTGGTCCTGCTGACTTGCGTGGGTTCACCCTCTTGAAGGCTTTGCACACATCAGCTACGGAGACGGAGGGGGCGTTGGGATCAGCTGTGGGCGGGGCGCTCTCCAGTGGTGTTGCGGGAATTCCGTCGAAGCGAGCGTAGAAGTTATTAAGCTCGTCCGGCAGATCAGCGCTGGTACTGGGCAGAGTGCGAGAGGCAGTTTTATAGTCAGAGATTGTATTTAACCCCTGCCATCTGGGCTCTTTGTTCTGGGCACACACCTGGCAGGCTGCTACATAGGTCCTTACATCTCTTTCTAGGTTGGGCCACCAGAAATGCATTTTCAGGAACTCCAGTTTTTGTGTTACCCCTGGATAACTACTAAAGGGGAAAGAGTGACCCCACTGGAGAACCTGGGCCCTAACAGATGATGAAACATACTGTCGCACAGATGGTCCACACCCAGGGTTTGGTTCGGTTCTAAGAGCCTCCTGGATGGCTGATTCCAGCCCCCAACTTAATGGGGCAATGATTTGAGATTTGAGAATGCTAGTTTCTGGGGACTGGTTAGCAGGAGGTGCATCCCATTGCCTGGAGAGGGCATCGGGCTTGATGTTCTTTGAGCCAGATCAATAAAATCGAAGAGACTGAGGAATATCATCCACCTGGGTGACAGGGGTTATGACGTTTGGCCTGTTGTATGTAGGCCAAATTAATTAGATTAATTCAGACCAAGAAAGGATGTTTGGCCCCCTCCAGCCAATGCTGCCATTCTCCAGGGCTATCTTTACCATCAGCAACTCATGATCCCCGACATAGTAGTTACGTTTAGCGAGTAGAAAGCGCAGGGTGTAGCTTGTGGTCATCCTCAGAATGCTGGGACAACTTTGTTCCTAGACCTACATCAGAGGTGTCAACCTCCACTACAAATGGCAAGGCAAGATCCAGCAGTCACAAAACCAGTGCAGAGGTCAAACATCGTTTGATCTCTTCAAAGGCTCTCTAGGCTTCAGGTGTCCACTGAAAGCGACCTGTCCCCTTTTTAGTAAGGGCAGTCAATGGGGCTGCCACCATACTAAAGTTTTGAATGAAGCCCAGAAAACTTTGGAACATGCAAAGATGTGGGGCATGGCACATTCTGAGATGGCCTGAGTCTTAACTTTGTCCATGCTCAGTCAGTTCTTGGAGACAACAAACCCAAGAAAGTTCACCAACCGGGCATGGAAGACGGATTTCTCGAGCTTAACATACAAATGTTTCTGGAGCAGGAGCCAGAATACTTGATGGATATGAGTTACGTGTTCATCTACTGAATGACAATAGATGAGGATATCATCAAGGTAGACGAACATGTACTGGTTTAATGTCTCTTTGAGAATGCTGGAAGACATAGGGAGCATTCATGAGTCTGAATGACATTACAAGGTACTCATAATACCCAGATTGAGTAATGAATGCTGTCGTCCACTCATCTCCTTGGGGCACCCTAATGAGGTTATAGACACTGCACAGGTCCAATCAGAAAAAAAAAATCAAGGCCTGCTGCAGTGCCTCCAACACTGAGGACATCAAAGACAAGGAGTAATGGTCCTTGATTGTAATTTGTTAAGACCTCTGTAATCAATGCAGGGACAAAGGCCCCCATCCTTCTTCCCCACACAGAGGAAACCAAGCCCCAGCTGGTGAGATTACCGACTGCCCCTGAATTCACAAAGACTTGAAGTCTTCTTAAAATGTTTACCCCATGAAAGGGTGTCAGTTAGCAAAAGCCCTCTCTAGGAGAATTGATTAGGGTCCATCACAGACCTCGCTTTGTGCAATAGATGCCCCAGTTCAGGGCAACCAGAACATAAATGACTAGCCTTTCCACAGTATAGGCACCTCCTCTCCCACATACAGGCCTCCCGCTCCTGGCGAGAAAGGTGGGTATGACCTAACTGTGTGGGCTGGTCAACAGGTTCAAGCAGGTCAGGGACTTGAGGAGGTCCAGAAGGGGTACCCCACACAGGGGTAGCCCATGCCAGGGCCCGACCTGTAAGTAACGAGATGACATATGCTACCTTAGAACATTCAGTGGGGAACCTAGAGGGCTGCTGCTCAAAAGCCGATGAACATTGCAGGAGAAAGCCCCCCGTTATACCTTTCAGGAGGAAGAAGCTTGGGTTCTGCCCTAGGAATAGCTAAGGCTAAACAAAAGAAATGCCAGATCATCATCTTCAAAACAAAAGAGTTCCTGAAAACTAAGGGGAAAAGTAATTAACCAAAAAGGACACTCAAAGTTGTTTTTTAATACTTACATCAGGAAGGCCACTGGGAGAGAATCCAGATTTTAACAAAGAACTCGAGACCTGAGAGAGCACCTTTATCAGCTCAGTAGAGAGCCATTCGCATGGCAGCATAATCTCAAGACAGCAGAAAGCAGCATGTGAGCACTGAGAGAAAGTATAGGTCTTTTCACATTTGCTTTCTTCTATGCTCTAACCTATGTTGTCTTTTTGTTGTGTCAGCTGTATTGTCTTACTGTTGTGTGCCTTTTGGTGTTTTATCTGTATTGTTCCCCCTGAGGTGAGAACAACCTCACCTTACCCCTGGGGTCTCCCTTGACCCCAGACCCCAGACCCCCTTCCCCTTCTTCCCCAACCTTTTGATTGTCACCTACTTCCCCTCCCTTTTTGCTTCCTCCCCCGACCCCCAGTATCTCTATTTAAACCATGTCAGACCATGTACTCATCAGACTGGACTGCTGACCAGACTGGGCTAGACTGGACTGCTGACCAGGCTAGACTAGAATGGACTGGTGACCAGACTAGACTGGTGACACACTGATGACCAAGCTGTGCCCGTGCATGATTGTCTGCATGCACATGAATAAGACTAGACTCCTGATACTGCTGATTGACTGTTGATTGACCACACTGTACTCATACTCTGTATGTGGAAATAAATCTCCAGTCAACGCCGAAGCTCCAGTCTCCTGACTCTTCCTGCTGAATTTTTAACAGCACCCCTTAAGTAGGGTGCCCACAGCTGTTACTGCTCAGTCCTAATTACCCCTTAGTGGTGCCTTGTCTCCCCCTAGTGGCTGGATGTGGCCTAGCATGAGGCCAGGACATTACAGTAATCTGGCCTTGTGCAACCTCTGCAGCAAGCACACTGGTAACACTTTAAGGTCTGCTTCTAAAAAACTAATTAATGATTAGCAAGCATAATTAATAATGTCCTTGTAAACTAAAGCATATTGTTTTTACACAAGCTGTTGTATAAACATATTTAAAAGATAAGTTAATAAGCAGTTACCTGCCTGACTGCATTGTGCCATCTGTAAAGTTTGGTAGAGAAGGGATAATGCTATTTGGTTGTTTTTCAGGGGTTGGCCTAGACCCCTTAGTTCCAGTGAAGGGAAACCTAATGCTTCAGCAGACCAAGACATTTTGGACAACTGTATGCTATCAACTTTGTGGGAAGAGTTTGAGCAAGGTCTTTTTCTGTTCCAGCATGACTGTGCACCAGTGCACAAAGCATGGTCCATAAAGGCATGGTTGGATGAGTTTGGTGCAGAAGAACTTGACTGTTCCGCACAGAGCCCTTACATTAACACTAACAAACACCTTTGGGATGAACTAGAATGGAGATTCCAAGGCAGGCCCTTTCGTCCAACATCAGTGTCTGACCTCACAAATGCTCTTCTGGAGGAATGGGCAAAAATTCCCACAGACACACTCCAAAATCTTGTATAAACCTTCCTAGAGTAGTGGAAGCTGTTATAGCTGCAAAGGGGGGACCAACTCCATATTAATGCCTATGGATTTAGAATGGAATGTCATTAAAAAGCTCCTGTAGGTGTAATGTGCAGGTGACCCAATACTTTTGTCCATAAGGTGTATGTGTGATTCTCTGTTTTTGCCTTATTGACTACAACAAGATGATCAACAAGAAAAAAAGTGATTCAGACATAGCAAAGATAATCAACCTATTCGTGCTTAGTCATATTCACTTGTGTAACATACACTATATTGCCAAAAGTATTTGCTCGTCTGCCTTCACACGCATATGAACTTGAGTGACATCCCATTCTTAATCCATAGGGTTTAATATGATGTTGGCCCACCAAGTTGGGAGCATGAAATTGTCCAAACTCTCTTGGTATGCTGAAGCATTAAGAGTTCCTTTCACTGGAACTAAGGGGCCGAGCCCAACTCCTGAAAAACAACCCCACACCATAATCCAAACTTACACTTGGCACAATGCAGTCAGACAAGTACCGTTCTCCTGGCAACCACCAAACCCAGACTCGTTCATCGAATTGTCAGACGGACAAGTGTGATTCGTCACTCCAGAGAACATGTCTCCACTGCTCTAGAGTCCAGTGGCGGCGTGCTTTACATCAGTGCATTCGACGCTTTGCATTGCGCTTGGTGATGCTTGGATGCAGCTGCTCGGCCATGGAAACCCATTTCATGAAGCTCTCTACGCACTGTTCTTGAGCTAATCTGAAGGCCACATGAAGTTTGGAGGTCTGTAGTGATTGACTCTGCAGAAAGTTGGCGACCTCTGAGCACTATAAGCCTCAGCATCCACTGACCCTGCTCTGTCATTTTACGTGGCCGACCACTTCGTGGCTGACTTGCTGTCATTCCCAATCGCTTCCACTTTATTATAAGACCACTGACAGTTGACTGTGGAATATTTAGTAGTGAGGAAATTTCACGACTGGACTTGTTGCACGGGTGTCATCCTATCATGGTACCACGCTGGAATTCACTGAGTACTGTTGGAAACGGTTACTGAAACAGTTTCAAAAAGTGTCACATATACAACCGTTCATCAACCTATTAATTCATGGTGCTTGGTCATATTTACTGGTGTAGCATATGTCCTGCAAAAGGCTCACACTCAACAGAATCAAAGAATCAAAGTTTCAAAATTACCAGTAGAGGTTGTTACTCCTGTACCTGCAGAAGAAATGGAGAAATACAATAAATATGATGACCAAAAATTAATATTATAATGCAATGCATGTTTGTTACATGAGATAAATATTTCAATGTTAAAGCATATCTTACTTATATTTAAGATATAAGCAAAGAATGTGTTAATATTTAACCACGTTGACATTGTTTCCTAAAAACTGTCATTAAAATAAATGTTAAAGAACTAGGATAAGATGTAGGACACAAAATTTATTATTCTAACATATTTGTGAATATCTGGTAGTTAGATGTTGGTTTAGCTGTTGTAACAATAAAAGCATAAAATTTGAACTACAAGCGGCAATATGCAGAGTCCAAGCACTAATCAGCCTAATTAGATTTAAATGGTCAGACTGGGGTCCATCTGCAGACAGAAAATAAATGATAGGGATCATATCATTATCATCATCATCATCATCATCACTTTTATTTATATAGTTCCCATGCTCAAGGACCAGTGAAGACTCTGAAGGACAGGGGTGATGTGGTCATTCTTTTTTGAAAAGGTGACAATCCTAGCAGCAGCGTTTTGAACAGACTGTAACCTAGTGAGGGCTTTGACAGGGAGACCAGAAAAAAGAACACTGCAGTAGTCTAGCCATGATGTCACTAATGCATGCACAAGTGTTTCTACATCAGCTTGGCTGAGAAATGGTCGGAGGCAAGAATATTGCATATAATATTGAATATAATATTGAAATATTTGCTAGCATTCAGTTTTAAAAAGTTCAAACTCATCCATGACTTTATGTCATGGATACAGTCAGATGGAGCAGGTGGTGGTGTAGTCTGAACAGGGCTAACGCTAACATAGAGTGTCATCTGTGTAACAATAAAAAATTAAACCATGAAGGCGTATTATTTGCCCAAGTGGCAGCATTTAAATGGTGAAGAGCTATGGACCTAAAACCCTGTGGAACACCCTTAGTGACAGACACTATAGAGGATTTATTATTCTGAATAGCTACATATTGATGTCTGTCACAGAGATATGAGGAAAGCCTGGAAAGGGCGGATCCGGTAATACTAATGAAAGAGTAATAGATCATGAGATATGGTATTGAATGCGGAGCTAAGATCAAGAAGTATTAACATACTAAGAGCTCCTGAATTAGCTACACATAGAAGATCATTAGTAACTCTAAGAAGTGCAGTCTCTGTACTCTGCAAGGGATGAAAAGGCTTGTATAAATTATTTGCTTCCAGGTGGGACTGCAACTGTGTAGCAACTACTCTTTCCAACAGCTTAGCAGTGAATGGGAGATTAGAAATTGGTCGGTAATTATTTAAGTCATGATAGTCTAGACCTGGCTTTTTCAGGACAGGGTTAATAACAGCAGTTTTGAGGTCGATAGTTCATCAAAAGTCCTTCACATGTCATGATTACAAAAGAGGGACCTTGAATGAAGATATGGTTCAAGTTTTATATAGACTGGTGTTTTGATCTTATAAAAAGCCACATATTTTGAAGAAAAAAGTGTGTCCTACATTTTATGCTAGTTCTGTAACATTTATTTTCATGACAGTTTTTAGGAAACAATGTTAACGTGGTTAAATATTAACACATATTTGGTAATATTGGATGGCATTCATCCTCAGCTGCATGATTACTGAAGACGGGCCTTGACTGAAAGTATTGTTCAACTTTTATACAGATTGTTGTTTCGATTAATTTTGGTATAAGCCAATAAATAAGCACCACCCAGAATTGTGTCTGTATGCCTCAAAGTGTAAAAGATACAGGGCAAAACATAAAACGCTGTGTTGTAGCACCCACTTCAGGCCAATTGGGTTCATCTTATGTGCATGAGTAGTGGGAGGGACTATGTGAAAACCAGGTTTCACACCTGTACACTTTACAGTTTGGCCTGCATGAATAGTTTTAGTGAAAAATAATTTATGTGAATTTGTGCAAAAACAATAGAGACCTGCGGACCTTGGACCTCTAATAAATTATTAGAAAAAGATCACTGAAAAAGCTCATTTTCAATTCTTTTGCAATTCAAAAATTGCTAAAAGCTCTGCCATGAAAAGTCATGAAAAATGGGATAAACAGTAGAACATCAAAAACACAATAACATACTTGGCAAGGATTGGTAGGTACTTGTTGATGTTGTTGTTGTTGCTCCTCCGATGGCTTTTAGAGAAAACAGCACAAACAAAACAAAAACAATTAAAACAGTAATATTAAAAAAACACACTGTCTACTTTTTATCATTTTAATGACTAAAGATTAAGGCTGGACCCACACTAGATGATTTTTAGCCCAATTTATCCCAATTTGCTTATTCCAACAAGCTAAATCAGGAGTGATTGATGATGTGAGAGAGGAAATGACTCAAACATGAGCTTTTTCGTTCAAGATCCTGAGTGATCAGAGGCCTTCTGATATTTCTAAACATGTTTGATGTTTACACATCAAAACATTACCTGTAGCGTGAGATGGTGAATGTCATTACTGAATGAGTGATTCAGAAAACAGCCAATCAGAGAGTTAGGAAACAGATACAAGAAAAAGTGCATGTACAGTGCATATGCAGGTGATCAGCCACCAAACTAATTCTTGTTGTAAAGCACAGGCAAATAAGAGCATTTGTAATATTTAGAATATATTTAATGTCAATTTTTTACAGATCCAGATGTTAAATTACTCTCTTTAATATTTTATGCAGCTGCAGTTTGTAGTAAAATATTTCTTTAGCTCTTACTGTAGAATAGAAACCTGTCTGCATTTTTCAACCACATATTCATCTACAGTGTGTAAAACACAATCAGCTCTGGTACAGTTTTGATTTCTTTGTATCACGTGATAACGGTGTACATTTATTTCATGGCTGAAATATGTTACAAACTCTCTTTGCCTTATCGTCTAGTGTGAGGGCCCTCACAACAATTGCGTTAAGTGTGTGTCAAGTCAAGTCAAGTCAAGTCAAATTTGTTTGTATAGCGCTTTTTACAACTGATGTTGTCACAAAGCAGCTTCACAGAAATCCATTAAGGACAAAGTTTTAACATGAAATGTAAATCCTCCAGCTGAGCAAGCCAGTGGCAACAGTGGCAAGGAAAAACTCCCTCAGAGCTGGGGAAGAAACCTTGGGAGGAACCAAGGCTCACGGGGGGGACCCATCCTCCTCTGGTCAAACTACCTACAAAATTATTATACTACTAATATTAATAGCAGTAGTAGTAATGTGTGATGCTCTGAGTTTTATAAATCAATTAGAATTTTACAAATCGTCTGAAAGTCTGGTAATTAGATGTTGGTTTTGCTATTGCAACATTAAAAAGCATAAAATTCAACTGCATGCGGCAATATGCAGGGTCCAAGCAGCATTCAGCATAATTACATTTAAATGGTCAGACTAGTGCCTATTTTCAGATGGAAAATAAATGATAGAGAGACAGAGTTCATCAAAAGTCCTTCATATGTCAAGATTACGGAAGAGGGGCCTTGAATGAAGATATTGTTCAACTTTTATACAGATTGGTGTTTCGATCTTATAACAAGCCACATATTTTGAAGAAAAAATATTTGACACACAGTCCATTTACTGACATAACTACTAATTGCAAAGATATTCGAATCACAAAAGAGCTGTTATTTATTTATAGAAAATAGAAAATAATGACTACTGGATTTTTAATGTTTTGTCTGTGTCATGTTTAAAATGCTTTAACTGAATCTCAGTTCATATAAAAGTGGTATAAATTTTGAGATGATGAGACCTTTTTAGAGACTAATTTAATTCAGATTTGCCAAGAGCACAATGATTAGTTAATATATGGTGATGAAAATGGGCCAAAACATCCAAATGTTTTTGATAATTATTCATCTCCAGGTGCCACAGAATATTTCAAAACCAATTTTGAGAAAAAAAAAATGTTCATAAAAAATTAGTGTGCAAAAAGGGCTGTTCATAAAGGGCTGTTTTCAAACAATTAATGATATATTTATTCGTCTCACTAAAATGAATTAATTGTATCCAGTTTAATGTCCTCAAGTGAAATGATATATGAAATATACTTGATTAAAATAAATAGAAAATTGAGTAGCGCCTCTCAGTGGTAATTTTTTTTAAACTTCATAGGGCATTTGTGAGTTTTTTCATAGGAGTAATATTTGAGATTTAAGGCTGATTCTTTCAAGTTGATGAATTTTGGGTTAGTATAAGACCTGCAGAGCTTGCACCTCTAGTAAATGATTAGAAAAAAAGATCATTGAAAAAATCATTGCAATTTAACATTTACTAAAAGTTCTGCCATGAAAATAAATGTAAAAATAAGATAAATATTAGGATATCAAAGACAGAATAACATACTTGGTGGGGATTGGTAGGTAGGTGTTGGTGTTACTCCTCCAACATCTTTTAGGGAAAACAACACAAGCAAAACAAAAAAACAATTAAACAGTAATGTTGAAAAAGCACACTGTCTACCTTTTAAACATTCTAATGTTTAAAGATTTAAACTGAAATCAAACTAAATGATTTTTAGCCCAAATTGATGCCCGATTTCCATATTCCAACAAGCTCGATCAGCAGTGGTTGAAAGTGTGGGTGATCTGATGGTGTACGAGGAAACGACTCAATCTTTAGCTTTTTCAAACAAGATCCTGAGTGCAACTAAAAGCACAACCAGGTCTGGTCCAGTTAGGTTTCATTGTATCATGTGAAAACAAGATACATTTGGGGTTTTGAAAGCTTTTCGTTGCTGAAATTTGTTATTTGAGTTATACAGTTTCTTTGCCTTATCTTCTAGTGTGAATGACCTCATGATAAAAATACAAGACATTCTATAAAAGACTGACATTAAGTGTGTGATGCTCCCCATTTAGAATTTTATGTACTATAATTTACAACCAGCTTAAGAACATGTACATAATTGCAAAAACATACTGTAACATCTCTACTGCTAGGTTTTATCTGCAATAATTACCTGCACAATATGCCAAATGACAGGCAGATGGTCTGACAAACTCATAGATGTAGTAATTTCCTGGGCAAGCTTTCACTCGAATAGGATTGGATGTGAAGTAACAGCAGTTGCCGCTCCAGCTACCGCAGACTTGGCGGGTGACCACTCCGTCCTGCAGTTGAGGATGAATGCCATTGATCCAGAGGGGGGCGTGAGTGCCACACATGAGAACATTTACACATGACTCTGGCATCCGGACGTTTTGTCCCTGATACTTGAGCCTGTACCAGCCGACCCACGTGACGTACTGATCACACCTCACATTCGCACTGTTGGAGTAGTTGGTGGCTCTCCAAGGCTCATCCAGCACAGTGTAGTTATAGCACGGGTCAGTACTGCTGGAAACTGTCACTGAAAAAGTTTCAAAAAGTGTCACATATACAACAGAGTTCATCAACCTATTAATTCAGGGTGCTTAGTCATATTCACTGGTGTAGCATATGTCCTGCAAAAGGCTCACACTCAACAGACCTCAACAAATAGAGCCCCAGAATCAAATCACAATCAAAGCATTAAATCAGAATCAAAGTATCAAAATTACCAGTAGAGGTTGTTACTCCTGTACCTGCAGAAGAAATGGAGAAATACAATAAATATGATGACCAAAAATGCATATTTCTAAACACGCTTGATGCTAACAAAATTAAAATCTTAACAAATTCCTTAGTGTGAGATCGTGGGTGCCATTTTTGAATTATTGATTCAGGCAACAGCCAATCTAAGAGGTAGGAAACAGATACAAGGAAAATGCATGTACACTGCATATGCAGGGGATTAGCCACCAGATGAATTCTGCTTGTACAGCACAGGCAAAGGAGGCAATGTAATATGTAGAGTATATTTAATGTTAATACTGTACAGATCCAGATGTTAAATTACTCTCTTTACAATTTAATGCAGATGCAGTTTGTGGTAAAATATTTCTTCAGCTTTCACTGTACAATAAAATGCTGTCCGGCACTTTTCAACCACATATTCATTCACAGTTTGAAAAGCACGAACAGGTCCGGTCCAATTTAGCTTTCTTTGTATCACGTGATAACGGGGTACATCTTTTATGTAGCTTAAATATGTTATAGGTGTTAAAACTCTCTTTGCCTTATTGTCTCGTGTAAGTGCCCTCATAACAAAAATACAAGACCTTCTGTAAAAGAGTGACGTCGAGTGTGTGATGCTCTCACTTTTAGAAATCTATTAAAATTGTACACATCATATAATTTACAACCAGTTGAAGAATATGTACACAGATGCAAAAAGATATATAAAAGATCTTGATAGAAATACTATTAGGGTTTTAGAATAATTATTCAGTATTAAGCTCTCAAATCCCAGCTGAAATTGATTGGCTGTTGGCAGCCAAAGTTTTCCAGTTATCAGATCATCTTTGAAAACTGTAATAAAAGAGACCCTCCTCTGGGGCATGCAATACACAGTGCAAATAGGGAGATCAGAGGCTCAGAGAGTCAGAGAGTGGATAAGAGTAAATGGGAAAAACACCTGAGTGCCCTCAGCAAACTGCTGTTTTGTGGATATAGATCATAGTTTAATAAACTGACTGTTCTATTGTTTATCTCCAACATGTTTACTACCATAAATCCCTTTTTAAGTGAACCACTATTGTCTAATACAAAAAATCAATAAATGTTTTGTGAGTCGTAACTAGCAGATGATGTTATAACCGTAATAGTTCATTTTTGGCAGAGAAATTGCTACTTAGCTTTAACAGCTCCCCTATTGACATAGATGTGCCAAAATTGACAGGCTACCTCAGAATGTTTTGACACATAACAAAACAACTTTCATTAGAAACAGACAAAGCATTCATGCATTACAGCTGCTTTAGTCATCAATGCTGTGATCCATAAGGATTGTTCAGCACGTGACTGCCTTATTGTATACAAATGTCAGCGTAGTTTGGGGAACTATTATATTTCAGGATCTTGCAGAGAAAAATGAATATCAGTTTAATGATGACTGGATGATCAACCTAAGGCAAGTTTGTAAAGCTAGGTGTTGCAACACGTTAATTATCTCAAATTTTTCCAGAGGAAAGGGGATGTGTGGTGTTTTGGGTTTTTGATCATTTTTGGTTTAGTATAAGCCAATAAATAAGCACCACCCAGAATTATGTCTATATACCGCAGGGTGTAAAAGATATAGGCCAGAACATAAAACACTACATTGTAGCGCCCACTTCAGGCCAATTCATCTTGTGTGCACGAGTAGTGGGAGGGACTATCTGATGGCCGAGATTCATACCTGTACACTTTACAGTTTGGTCTGCAAAAATAGTTTTAGCAGTGAAAAATAGTCAATGTGAATTTGTGCTAAAACAATAGAGACCTGCAGAGCTTGCACCTCTAGTAAATGATTAGAAAAAAGATCATTGAAAAAATCATTGCAATTTAACATTTACTAAAAGTTCTGCCATGAAAATAAATGTAAAAATAAGATAAATATTAGGATATCAAAGACAGAATAACATACTTGGTGGGGATTGGTAGGTAGGTGTTGGTGTTACTCCTCCAACATCTTTTAGGGAACACAACACAAACAAAACAAAAAACAATTAAACAGTAATGTTGAAAAAGCACACTGTCTACCTTTTAAACTTTTAACGATTAAAGATTTAAACTGAACCAACACTAGATGACTTTTAGCCCAAATTGATGCCCGATTTCCATATTCCAACAAGCTCGATCAGCAGTGGTTGAAAGTGTGGGTGATCTGATGGTGTTACGAGGAAACGACTCAATCTTTAGCTTTTTCAAACAAGATCCTGAGTGCAACTAAAAGCACAACCAGGTCTGGTCCAGTTAGGTTTCATTGTATCATGTGAAAACAAGATACATTTGGGGTTTTGAAAGCTTTTCGTTGCTGAAATTTGTTATTTGAGTTATACAGTTTCTTTGCCTTATCTTCTAGTGTGAATGACCTCATGATAAAAATACAAGACATTCTATAAAAGACTGACATTAAGTGTGTGATGCTCCCCATTTAAAGAATTTTACGTACTATAATTTACAACCAGCTTAAGAACATGTACATAATTGCAAAAACATACTGTAACATCTCTACTGCTAGGTTTTATCTGCAATAATTACCTGCACAATATGCCAAATGACAGGCAGATGGTCTGACAAACTCATAGATGTAGTAATTTCCTGGGCAAGCTTTCACTCGAATAGGATTGGATGTGAAGTAACAGCAGTTGCCGCTCCAGCTACCGCAGACTTGGCGGGTGACCACTCCGTCCTGCAGTTGAGGATGAATGCCATTGATCCAGAGGGGGGCGTGAGTGCCACACATGAGAACATTTACACATGACTCTGGCATCCGGACGTTTTGTCCCTGATACTTGAGCCTGTACCAGCCGACCCACGTGACGTACTGATCACACCTCACATTCGCACTGTTGGAGTAGTTGGTGGCTCTCCAAGGCTCATCCAGCACAGTGTAGTTATAGCACGGGTCAGTACTGCTGGAAACTGTCACTGAAAAAGTTTCAAAAAGTGTCACATATACAACAGAGTTCATCAACCTATTAATTCAGGGTGCTTAGTCATATTCACTGGTGTAGCATATGTCCTGCAAAAGGTTCACACTCAACAGACCTCAACAAATAGAGCCCCAGAATCAAATCACAATCAAAGCATTAAATCAGAATCAAAGTATCAAAATTACCAGTAGAGGTTGTTACTCCTGTACCTGCAGAAGAAATGGAGAAATACAATAAATATGATGACCAAAAATGAATATTATAATACAATACATGTTTGTTACATGAGATAAATATTTCAGTCTTAAAGCACACTTATATTTAAGATATAAGCAAAGAATGTGTTAATATTTAACCACTTTAACATTGTTTCCTGAAAACTTTCATGAAAATAAATGTTAAAGAACTAGGAAGAAATATAGGACACAAAAATTATTGTGAATGTCTGGTAGTTAGATGTTGGTTTTGTTGTTGTAATAATAAAAGCATAAAATTCCACAGCATGCAGCAATATGCAGGGTCCAAGCACCAGTCAGCAAAATCAGATTTAAATGGACAGACTAAGGTCTATTTGCAGACAGAAAGTAAATGATAGAGAGACAGAGTTCATCAAAAGTCCTTCATGTGTCATGATTATTGAAGATGGGCCTTGAATGAAGATATGGTTCAAGTTTTATACAGATTGTTGTTTCGATCTAACAAGCCACATATTTTGATTCAAAATATGAGACACGCAGTCCATTTACTGACATAACTAGTAATTGCAAAGATATTTGAATCACAAAAGACCTGTTATTTGTTTATAGGAAATAGAAAATAATGACTACTGGATTTTTAATGTTTTGTCTGTGTCATGTTTAACATGCTTTAACTGAATCTCAGTTCATATACAAGTGGTTTAAATTTTGAGATGATGAGACCTTTGTGAGACTTACTAACTTAATTCAGATTTGCCAAGACCACAATGATTAGTTAACATATGGTGATGAAAATGGGCCAAAACATCCAAATATTTTTGATAGTTATTCACCTCCAGATGCCACAGACTATTTCAGGACCGATTTTGAGGAAATCTTTTTCAAAATCTTAATTCTAGTTCATAAAGGGCTGTTTTCAAACAATTAATGACAGATTTTTATTAGGCTCAGTAAAGTGAATTATCTGTATCCAGTTTCACGTTCTCAAGTGAAATGATGTATGAGATATAGTTGATTAAAATAAATAGAAAATTGAGTAGTGCCTCCCAGTGGTCAAGTGGAACCTTCATAGGGCATTTGTGAGTCTCTTCATAGAAGTAATATTTGAGTTTTAATGTTGATTCCTTCAAGTTGACGAATTTGGGGTTAGTAAAAGCCAATAAACTATAATCACCAAGAATTAAGTCTGTATGCCTCATGGTGTCAAAGATATAGCCCGAAATGTAAAATACTATGCTGTCGTGCCCACTTCAGGCTAATAAGACTCATCTCTTGTGCTCAAGTAATGAGGGGTCTTGAACTTAATCTGATGATTAAATTCCATGTCTGTGCACCAGGCCAATCAGGATCATCTTGTTTGCACGAGTAGTGGGAGGGACTATCTGATGACAGAACTTCATGTCTGTACGTTTTATATTTTGGTCTGCAAAAACAGTTTTAGCAGGAAAAAATAAGTCATGTTAATTTGTACAAAAACAATAGAGACCTGCAGTGCTTTTAGGGAAAACAGCACAAACAAAACAAAAAACAATTAAACAGTAATATTAAAAAATCACTTTGTCTACTTTTTAACATTTCATTGACTAAAGATTAAAGCAGGACCCACACTAGAGGATTTTTGCCCAATTTTATCCTGAATTTTCCAGTTCCAATAAGCTCAATCAGAAATGATTAATGGTGTGGGTGATCTGATGTTGTTGGAGAGGAAACGACTCAATCTTTAGCTTTTTCAGTCGAGATCCTGAGTGATAAAAGGTCTTCTGATATTTCTAAACATGTTTGATGTTTACAAATCAGAACATTACTGAATTCAGTAGTGTGAGATGGTGAGTGCCATAATTAAATGAATGATTGAGGCAACAGCCATTCAGACAGCTCGGAAACAGATACAACGAAGGTGCATGTACACTGCATATGCGGGGGATCAGCAACCAGATGAATTCCCAGTATTATGTCTATATGGTGTACAGGACAAAAGATACAACACTATGTAGTAGCGCCCACTTCAGGCATGAGTTTGAAAGTGTAATAATAAATTGCCGACACCTGTAGCACATGCACAGCGTATTTAGAAACAAGTCAACTGAGCTGAAGACTGAAAACTACATAATAAAAGGATTCAGCAGCTTTTAACAATGCTAGTCAAACACAGGTTCATATAATTAGTTTAGGCATCCATTTGATCATTGAGCTTACTGAAGGAGGAGCATACACATGTTTGCTTACTATTCAAATAGTGGACAACTGATCAAAATACATTTCAAAGATCTTTACTATTGAATTTGGAAGACCATTCTTTATTATCAGTACCTAAATTTTATGGCATGCTTACAAAAGATCTAAAAGTTTATTTAAAAGAACTAGCTATGTTTAGACATTCTTAAGTGAAGAATTTTCAAAACTATAACTAAAATAGAACTTACTCATTCTTATTAAGTACTGTCTGACCTTTAGTGAGTGCTTATAAATAATATTTCCAAGTTATTGTCTGCTAAACATGGACAACAGGTCTCATAGTTTTTCAGTAAAATACCAATCATTTGTATTTTAAACTATATTGTAAGGTCCCTTTAAAATCACTTTTTCCAAGTGTCCACTATTTATGAAACATGACTGTTAACTAGCTTCTTTGGTCATTGTGAAATTAGATAATTAACACCTCTTTATATTTCTTGATTACTGTAATTTAAAGTCATTCTGAGTATGTTTTTAACTGAAAGATTACTATAAATGAACATTTAACTCACTACTCAACAATTGCTAATTTACAGAATACTTATTAACACATCATATGAGTACATTTATATCACATGTTTAAGCTTGCTTAAAATGTTATGTTTCTTATTATTGGGGCATTATTAATTCCTTGCTAATAGTTACATTTGCTTTTAAGATGTAGACGTTAAAATGTAAAATGTGTTGAACAATATTTCTAGTAACTTGTGAACAAGTAAGGAATAATACTCTCAATAACAGACTTTAATTGTCTATTTTCATCTATTTTGTGGTCAAGTTATTTGCCTTGAGGTTCGATCTTTGCTTTTTTAATAGCTTTTATCACAGATATTTAGTGTAATTTTAATTAACTAAACTTAATTCTACCCAGGTTTTCAGTTATTTTAGAATTCTTCAATCTGGACACATCTTAATTTATATTCACAGCCTTCTAGTTAATTATCTTAAACTGATGAAGTTACACATGATACATATAATAGAATAATTAACTTGTCATTTTTATCACTGAAAACATCAATTTTTATCTAAAAGTCTACTGCAATTCTCACTCTAAAGTTAACTACTTAACATACTGATGGCATGACTAGATTGCAGTTCTGCCCTGAATCTCACTGGACTGACAGGGTTTGTTGACACACAAAGACATTGTTGTGGAAAGATCAGGTTCAGCCTTAAGATTGATGCTGGCATCTTTTGGCATTTATATAAGGTTTATAAGAAGTAATAGAAATGCCAACTGATCACATGATTTTCAGGAATAAGAAGGCATGTTTCCTCCTCCTACACAGGTACTTTTGTAATTACTCATTATACTAATAATATACATGAAGCATTCATGGCAGATTCACACAACACTACATTATAAGCACAGAAACAGCAGCAGCAACACTCGATTAGAATGTTTACACTCCATTAGAATTACAAATTCATTTTGGAACATTCATTAAACACATTCACTAATAAGTAACAGGCATTAATAATTTTAGTATATGCTTCATAACATGGTTATAAAAACATTTCAAGACCCCTTCCTTCTTTTCAAGGAACAAATATGATTTCCATGTAAAATTGATATTTTATATGGTGGTTGTTCTGATTACTGTAATACTACTGTGCAGTTCATCAATGTTACAAAAATATTTCATGTATGACTTGCTAGTTTAATTTGTTAAAATTTTGCTTTGTTACCATAAATGCTTTAATTAACAATGAATGCAATATGCACTAAATATTACAGACAGCATTTTCAATACATAAAATGATCTATTCTTTAAACCAAAATGAATGTATGTAATGATCGCGTATAAAATGTTTATGTAATTTTAATAGAATGTTACTGTACTGTTTATGAATAACTATGCTTCATGTACATATTGTCCATATAAAGAATTACTAAAAATAATTACATGGTAAAATTAATAAAATTTAATGTTTAGTGCTGTAACACCATTAGAAGCTTGTCAATTAGCAATAATTAGCAATGTTTTTTTCTGAAGAGTGTCTACATAACACATTCATAATAACATAACATAACATTTCTAAATGTTTCAATCAGAATTCATAGGTATTTACTATGCCTGATTTTATTTATTATAAATGTTTGTATATTCCCAGCTTTCACAGAGTTTCTGTCAACAGCTGTTGTTGTGTTCTTTGACCTGTCTAGTTGTTAGCACACCAGTTATTTTATTTTCCTTTTTCAAACTTTATACAGAGTTAGTAACATAAATCATGTTTGCCTGACTGAAATGACTGCCATTTGGATCTATTCAGTGAAATGCAAAGAGATCTATACTATTTTTTGTACTTTAAAAGCATTGTAACGCATGCTGCCACTGGAAGCTGGAGCAGTAGAAATGTATTTTGTGGAGTGACGAATCAAGCCTCTCTATCTGGCAGTCTGATTGATGAGTCTGGGTTTGGCGAATGCCGGGAGAACATTACCCTCCTGACTGCACTGCCAAATTGGTGGAGGAGGGATAATGCTATGGGGTTGTTTTTTTAGGGGTTGGCCTACGCCC